CGCATGGATGGCTTTTTTCTTGCGTCAATTAGCTCTATAACAAAAAAAAATTATATTTCAAAACCTAGCTAAAACTCCTTAGATTCAATGGTTAGAATATTACCACATAGGAGGTTTTGCTTAGATTTTGAAATATAATTTTTTTATGGTTATACAATTCAATTTTTTTTTTCTTACTTTCACTTTGGCTTAATATAGTTACGAACAAAATGAAATTATAATCGAAGAGGTCAAATCAAATGTATATGACCGTAAATGTGGAACTGTGCATGATCATGCATGCGGACAGGAAGCTCATGTGCGACTGTATAAGTACATTTAATTGAATATTCATTTAATTATGATAGCATTAAATTAGTAAGCCTGCGAATAATAGTGAACGGTCCAAGTATGTAATGGATTCTCGTTGCGGCTGTGAAACGATTAATGGTTAATAAATAAAAGGATCCCTTATACTCCCTCAATATCATTTTAAATAATTTTTAAAAATTTTATACATAAATTAAAAATTTTTAATTTTTTTAGTTTTTCTAAATTAAAATATCATTCAATTAAATACAATTCAACCAATCGTAAATCAAATTGCAAAATACAAATAGTCAAAATAAATAAAAATGCATTTAATTTTGTCTTGAAAACTCAAAAAATCATATAATTTGATAAAAAATAAACCTCTAGAAAATCATCTAATTTGATACAGAGAAAGTATTTGAAAAGTGATTTATGAAAAGATATATGTCATCTCTATAATAACTTTTACTAAAATAATTGTGACATGGTTTGAAAATAATGTGACATGGTATTTTTGAATCAATAACAAAATATTCTACAAATAAATTTATATTTGTTTCCATAAATAAATCAAAAAAATATTTAATTAATATTTTATGAGATTTTCGTTTTTTATTTCTCATCTAAAAATAGTTTAGAAATTGATTATGTAATAATAAAATTCTAGAACATTTTTATAGAATACATATATTTTTTTCGAAATTAATAATAAACACTTATCAAATTTTTAAAAGAGTTTTTGATATATACTTAACAAATTAATAAACACTTACCCATTTGAAATTCCAAAAATGGTTTTCAATGTAGGAAATCTGACAAGACGTTTAGGAATAGCTCGAGTTCCAAAGCGGTGAAACTACAATTTACATGAAGAACAATTACATCAGATTTTATTCACTTTTCGTATCGGTAAGGAGTAAGGACTAATTACCAATCAAGATCGCATAAGAACAAAAGTGGTACGGTATAACAAAAATGAAAATAATACAATATATTTGTG